GCCATTTATATATGCGTGTGTGTATATATATATATATATTTATTATTTTTTTGGGGTGGTGGGAGCACACGGCGTAGTTGTGGCGTTCAGCTTTGGGGAAAGATGCAGCAGCTCTTAAGGGCGAGACAGTAAATGCCAAAGAAGGGGGCAAGGAGAGCTTGGGTTGGGTTTTTTTAGTGTGTCTCATCCGCAATCCGGATAATCCGCCCACAGATAATTGAGGGTTGGCGGTGCGGCTGAGTCAACCCGCCTCGAATCAATAGCCGGTTCCCAGGCGCGACGGGCTCCCGGCCGGCCGGGGAGGGCCCATCGCCCGCACGCCCCCAGCCACCAGCAGGATTTTAGCACCCACTTTTCTACCTGGGCAAAGGGCACTGGGTGCTTTCAGGATGCGACACGCGCTCCCTCGCTGCGCGGGCGTAATTTTTGCAGCCGTTTATAATTTTGCCAGAAAACACGGCGATGTTAAACCTCCCCCCTTATCATCAGTCCGGGTTGCTCTTTGCTAAACGCTGTGCAGCCGGTCCCATCCCCATCGCCCTCCTCTGCCGCGCTGACCCCGTGCCGGCCCAGGAGAGGAGGATTCTCCCTTGGTCCTGCCCTTCCAAGGGGGTTCCCTCTTCTCCTCCGCGAGGAGGCAGGGAAAGCAGGGATTCCTCCTAGACTCTCATCCCAAATACTAGGCAGCTTGCTCATTTTAGTGTGCTAAAATGAGCTCATTTGGTTCATCGGGGTGCACAGCTAATCGCGGTCCCCCTTTAGCATTTCTCATTCCTGGCCGGGTACTGCCCGGGTGTCCCTGGGCTTCCCTCCCCGCCAGCTCACCCCCTTCTGCCTTTGGCCCCGGACTCCTCCATCACCTCCACAGCACAGAGGCGGGAAGATTTCATCACAAACTGCTTCTCTAGCAAAGGTTTGCCCCCTTCTCCAGGGCCAAAAATCACTCCGGGGTCTTTTTCTGTGTTGCTGGGTCCCTGGGACCTCCTTGGCTCTGCCCCAAAACTCCCCCTTGCCCTTCCCCGGATGAAGGTCCACCCGCACCATTGCTTTGCCGAAGACGCTCGGCCGGTGCAGATCGCGGTGATTTCTGAGCCGGCATTTGGTCTGGTTGGGTCTCGCCTGATGCCAGGGAGCAAAGGGGTGACCCAAGGGACCCATGCAATACCCAGGTGACCGAAAATA